CGAATAGATATAGTAATCGTACACGAATAATAGATAGAAGAAATAAAAACCCAGGTATATTTTTGATCGTTTTTGGTTAAGATTTTCTTACCAAAAAAGAGAATAGTGGCAAATGTTTTAAAATATCCTTTTCAAGGACTTTTTCGTAGCATCCGCCACTCACGTTGCATTTATTACATTTGAATCTATTCTACGATAATTAAAACAGCAATTTTTTACGTAACAAATCTTAGTTACATGATAAATAATAATTCTCTTTAATTTCATGATAATTATCTTTAAATTATCATATTTATTTTGTGTCTCAATGAATACTTTTACATAATAATTCTCTAATTTTAAATGTGATTTATTTTTTATTCCATTTTTTTTTTTTTTGCTAGACGAAGTTGACTTTAAATTTTTTGTAAATTTTTTCAGCACATTTCCATTCGTGAACTTCGCGAATTTCCAATTCTCTATATCTCCAAATCAAATGTCCAAGTTCAATTTGTAACATTTCTATTGTTTCAATTTGAATCATTTCCTCTTCAGTTAATTTTAATTTTAAATTTTCTATGTGCTCCAAAAGTGATTCTGAATCAAAATTTAAATATTGACATGCTTCTATCTCATCCAATATTTCATGAATTTTGATGGTTGTTTGACACTCAAAATTATAGATCTCTTCACGGAGTTCTTCAATTTCTTCTAATATATTGCTTAACTTTTTTTGATATTTGTTACGTGTTCGTATGGCGTCTCGTTGAAGTTTAATATAATTGATTACTAATTCTCCAGTTTCATTACATTTTAAAGATGGTTTTGATGAAATCTTTTTTAATTGGACAAGATTTTGACACGAAAGAGAATCTTTTTGCTGTTTTCTTAGATTATAATATAGTTTAATAGCACCGTATCCACTTATTAAAGTTAAAAATGTAGTTGAGATTATGCTAATACTCATTGAGAAATTATTTAGTTGCGGCATTTTTTTTTTATAATTTTTTATAATTAATAGATTTATTTTTTTTCAATAATTTAACGAACCAAGTTTTTTTTTTCTTTTGAAGAAATTTTTAGGGAATTTAAGTTTCTCACAGAAGTATTCGTTAAAAATTTTTAATTTTTTTTTTTAAGGTTTATGTACAAGATGCAAAATAGTTAAAATGATTTTTTTTTGCGGTGACACGAAAAATTGATCATATGGAAAAACTGTCATGAAACGTATTTATAGCTTTCATGAGAAAAATGAATATTTACGATGTTTTTGATTCCACATGCATGAGAAATATTTCGATGTTTTGATTATACGTGCATTACTTTACATGACGCAGATTTTTTGATTTATTTAAGAAAGTCGTTCGAAACAATAAACAGGTAAAACCCTAAACTGTAGGTATAATTTGACCATTTTTTTAAACATCTTTTAATGAGCCATTCCGATTATAGATAAAAATACCAAAATTTGATTTGTGATTGAACAAATTTCCTAACTAAATTATTAAATTGTATGAAAATATATTTGAAATTATATTAAATTATGTAATATTTTCTATAGTTCGCAAGTTATTGATAATTCTTGGTATTGTCAAAAAGAATGCGTCGTTATATTCTTTTGATCTACAATTACCAAATACGTCAGCTGGAATTCTTAGATCGCGCGCTCTGTCTGCTGTTGATCTAAAAAGCATGCGTTAATCTGACAAATTAACTTTTTGTAAAAAGGAGTTGGTAATGTTAGAAGGAAATAAAGAGAATTGAAATTTTTTTTTTCTCACAATATATAATAATAATATAGCAAATAGTGAATCTTAAAGATTTTTTATTGAATTAAATATTATGCAAGTATAAAAATAAACAAATGTAGTATATTATAAATTATATTATATAAGATGCTAATACAAGAACAAATATAATATAAATGGTTATATGGATTTTCTATTTGTTGTCGTATTATTATTATTATTGCATTATTTACTTGTTATATTATTTTATCATTACTTATATTGTATAAGACTCTCATCACGATCTGCATAGAAATGTACAATTTAAAAAGCGTCATTGTTTCCCCACGATAAAAATAAAATCATAAGACAATAACAATTATGCGTCGCCGTCTTTATGAGAGCACCCCCTTGAATAATTTCAAGTAAAAGTTATAACAGATAAATTATAACAAATAATTTAGGTTCAATATTAATTTATATTTATTATATTGTCTTTTGAATCCAAAGAATATCATTGAAAAATATCAAAGACTGCAATAATTTTATATTAATGCAATCAGTTTTAATGCTAGATCTTTAATTTTTGGTATTGTTTTGAATTACTTGATGACTTAAATCTTATAACCAAGTTTGTTATAACTGATATTTTTTTTATTTAATCAGTGTATATTTTCATTTTAGGAAATATTATGAAGTGTAATATTACATGATCTCTAATATTATAGTAAGGAAGCTTTACATAAATCTCTTAAATCTCTGTAATTAGTTGTGTAACTGTAACTTTTGTAACTAAATTATTAATTTCTCAATGAGTTCATTTTATTTTTTATTTGGTATGATGATGATGATATTATGATTTTTTTTTAAATGATCTAAATATAAAATTAATAAATTACTCAAAATAAATAAATAAATAAATAAATAAATAACAATTATTAAACAAACATAAAGATCATGAGTGATAGTAATTTAATGCTATATATTAAAATTGATCAAAAAATAATTTGGGTCAAAATACAGAAAAAAAATTTTTTTTTTTAAAAATAACTTAGTAAATTTCATATCCAGAGAGCATTTCACATAATATTCTTCTTGGTGATATTCTCAATATTCTCAAAATTCATCACTTTGATCATCTTTATTTTCACTTTGATCACCATCTTGAGTGAATTTCTGTTTACCAGTTTTATTACGAGAGAAAGCAAATGGTGTTATAGAGTCATCATCTTCAATTCTATATATATATATATATATATTATAAAATATTATTATCAAAATTAGAAATCAAAAATTAGAGATCATTAATTTATTAAACAGAATGAATAGTTTTTTTAAAAAAAACCAACCTTCTGAATACGTAACTACCTTCTCCATCAAATCTAAGTAACCACTCATGATATTTAACTGCATTTTACATATAATTATATAAAATAAAATAAAGGTGTTTAATAAATAATTTATCCGCCAAAAAATTTTTTTTTCATAAAACAAAAAAATATTACTTACCCTAATATCATATTATTTATAATGTTTATATAATAGTTATTATAAAAAAGTCGATTAATAAATAAATAAATATTTTATTAACATAAATAATTATTTCTCTTTTTCTTTTTAATTCTTTTAATTTCAAATATATAAAAATAATTTACCAATGAATGTCTATGTGAAACTGTAAATAATGTAATTCCCAATTCTCGAGCATGAGTGTACATTATACCTTCAACATCTACACTGACTGCACTGGTACACTCATCCAAAATTGCCTAAATAATTTTTAATTATTTTTTTTAATATATATGTAAAAAAATTAGTGAAGCTTGAACCATATTTTATTAAATTTTTTTTTACAAAAAATATAAATTAATTTTGATAACTTACAAATTGTGGTCTATGATAAAAGAGTCTTGCCATAGCCACTCTCTATTATATTATATAAATAAAAATTATTATTATTAATTAAAGGAAAAGAAAATAACAAAAGAAATGTAACACGATTTTTTTTTATTACCTGTTTCTCACCACCAGATAAAACATCTGCCCAATCTTGAACTGATTCCCAACCACCTTCCCTCTCAACTAAATAATCTAAGTGAACTACATTGAGTAATTCCATGAGCCTTTGATCATCATATCCTTTAGAATTAGCAATAGTTTCAGAGTCGGGATAAATTATCTATTTCATTTTTTATTTAAACGAAAAAATCGATAAATTTTAAATAATTAGAATACATTTTAAACTTTTTTAAACAACTAATGAACAATAAACGCAACAAATACAATAAATGATATGTATATACTTGATCTCTGAATGTTCCCAATGCTAAATATGGTTTTTGAGGCACATAAAAAAGTTTGGAAGGTGGTGGCTTTGTAACGATTCCATCTATATAATATAAATAAATATGTATAGAAAAATATAAATGAGAATTTCAATTAATTTATTAGAGAGAGAGAAGGATATAATCTTATTATAAATTTTTTAATCTTACCAAACAATGGCCACAAATCTCCTAGAATACGGAATAGAGAACTTTTTCCCTTGATAAAAAAAATAAATGTTTTAAAATAATGTTTTAAAAATAATGTTTTAAAAATAATTTAACATTATAACCAATTTTACAATAATAAGAATTATAATAATAATAACTTACGCATCCATTAGGTCCTGAAATAAGACAATTCATTCCTGTTTCAACCTTGAATGATAATTCTTTTATCTAAATTAATAAATAAATAAATATAAATAAATTAATTAATTAATAAAAAAAAAAACAAAATAAAAATAATTCTCAAGAAAATGGAAAAATAAATAAAAAAAATAATATGTATATAAAATAATTACCAATACATCATTATTAGGTGTAATTATAGGAACTTTTTCAAATATAATAACTCCATCTTTCGTTATAACTTTTCCTTTAATATCACTTGGTGTCACAGCTTGTATTATTAAATTAAAATATATCAGAATAAATACAATTTAATCTTTTGTTATAAATGAACTTTATAATTTTTGGAATTATTAATTTTAATAGAATTTTTAATTACTTTTGTTTTGATTTGCTTCACTTGAATCTTTGCTTATCATGGTACGTTCATATCTACCATTATTAACATCCTCGAGGACATCAAAAAGCTCAGCAACTCGAGACTAAATATAAAAATTTAAAATTAACTTTATTTTCATATATGTAAAGACAATAACAATAACAATAATATAATAACAACTTACTGTGTAACCTGCAAATCTGGTTAGATCTCGACCTGCTAAAATCAATCTACCTACGGCTTGTGACAAATTTACAAGGTAACCAGCTGAAATATAAAGAAATATAAATTAATATTAATTAAATGGTACATTAAATAAAATATTTAAAAGAAATAAATAAATAAAATAAAATCAAATCGCTTTTTATTTTTTCTTACAATTTCTTGAATAATCTTCCATAATTTTTGTGGGATCAGTGTCAAATTTACCCATAAATTCCGTTGCTATTTACAAGGATAATTAAATAATAATTAATGGTCAATTCGATATAAGAAAGGATAGAAAACGAATATTAAAGATTTCTCCTATTACCATATCTTTCATCAAATACTGGTCTTGCTAATAAACTGATAAAAGCGAGAAAAATTTTAGTCAGATGATAAGAATAATTAAATAAAATCAAAATCAAACTTAATCATAATTAACTTACTAATAAGCTGTCATTGTTGCACAGTATTTAACCAATACGGAATCAAATATTCCATTTATAAATCTAAGTCTATATATTTTCTTAACGTGCTTCACAATCTTATCAAAACTTCCATTAACAACTTCTAATTCTCTTTCATTACCACCATAAAACGCAATTTCTTCCGAATGTGTAATTATACGTGACTATTTTTGAACCAAAATTATTGAATTATAATTTGATTGTTTTAATCAGTTTTTTTTTTAAAAAAAAATGGAATGATAAATAAACGTACATGAGTGAATCTAAAATCTCCTTCAAGTTTTTGTTCAATGGCGGTATCTTTACATCAAGAAAGAAAAAAATAAAAAGAAATTCAAACATAAACAATATTTAATAATTGATCAAATGTAATACAAAATTTAATTTAAATTTTACCTACATTTTCCGAATGGTGGAGAAAATGCACGAAGAATAGCACCAGAAGCCATAAAATATCCAATAATGTAAATTGGTGCTATAAAAAAAAAATTGTAATTCAGTAAATACACTTATATAATCTAAATATTAAAGGTTTCCGAAAATCTATAATTGATTGATAAGCAACCTTCTTGCCCACTTGAAAAAAAAAATAAGAAATATATATATTTTTTAAATAACGTGTACAAAATAATAAAATAAAATAATAACTGTAAAAAAAAAAGAAAAAATTATTACTTACATGGCTTCACCTAATTTGTAAGCGAACAAGACCATGTCTACAATAGGTTTAGCAATATCTGAATACAAATGACTTAGATTATCCGCAAATTTATCGATATCCTATTAAAAAAATATATCAAGATACATCATGAGAAATCATGAGAAAGGAAGAATAAAAAAACGCGTCATTTATAAATACCTGTGTCAACAATTGATCAGCATTTTGGATTCTATTATCTATATTGGTTATCTTATAAAAAGTGATATCCTTCAAATATTCTTTATGAGCGTACTATTGAAAAAAATTTATAATTATTCACGTTGTGTAGAAAGTAATATTAATCTTTGATCATAGATTATAAATTACATTTATAAAATGCATTTGTAAAACACATTTATAAAAATAAAATAAAATAAAAATATAAAGCCATTTTACCCGAGTTAATCGAGTTCGGAATGATAAAGCTAATGCGCTAATCGTAAGTTTTAATGAATTATTAACTATACTCATTGGCCACTAAAAAAAAATTAAAATAATATTTGTGATTATAATTAATAAATAATTTGATATATTATTTTTATTATTTTTTATTATTTTTTATTATTTTTTTTTAGATATTATTATCATTATTATTATTATTATTATTATCATTATTATTATTATTATTATTTACCATCATAAAGCCAAATTCCACTACTGCTCGTGCAATAAATGCTTTCCGATCACGAGATACGATAGCTTTAACAATATGACTATTCAGTGAATAATTGATTTTTTGATGATTCTGTTAATGAACAGAATCTCTTAACAAATCTTTTTCGATGAGATTATTAAATAACAAAATCTTACCCATTGAAACCGGAAAACCTAAATAAAATTAGAATAATATAGATAGATTTATTAATTATGATCAAAAACTACAACAAAGAAGAAAGCGAGATAATGAAATCATTAATAAATAAAATAAAAAAAAAAAAAAAAAAAATGGAAATTTAAGTAGTTTATCTCTTTAAAATATATATAATTTTGAATCAATACCATATATCAAGCCAAGTGCGTGCAATTAAAACCATTGCCAAACTAAAAAGTAATGCAGTTTCTTTTGAAGCAATACCTAACAATATTTTTATTAAATAAAAATTTAAATAATAATTTAATTTGAAATTTAAAAAAAAAAAAATGAATCTTAGATTCTTCTTTTCTAACCAGGTATACAAATAGGCAACAATTTTTTTATTTGAGCAAAAAATTGCGCGTCAACTCCAACCCTCTTTGTCGGTCGGCTTCTATTATCTTGACCACTCGCAGAATTCCGAGCAATAGAACGAGATTGCCTTTTCTTTTCTTCAACACGTTTTTTAGCAAGGTATCCAAGGATAATTATCAGAGCCAATAACGCTGAACGTTTCTTCGATGAAGTTATCGTTCTGGGCAATTCATTAAAAACCGAAAGGCTCTGACCCATTGCGAACTTTTAAAGGGACTATTATTACCCTAATTTGGGAATTAATAGTTTAGAAGTAAAAAAAAATCTTGAAGAACTTTTAATTGAATAACCAAAAATTTTTGTAGATAGATATCACTTGGCGTGATGGTAACTGTTACATTATTTCACAAACTGGCATTATAAGTTACGCCAAAGTTATCTCGTTATCTTTTAACGATTTATTTATTTCAATTTTACTTCGGTTGTTATTATCCATTTTTTTCTAATCTAATTAATAACCTATGGCAAAATAATATTAAATTTTAATAATTACGTTCTTTCTTCTTTATATTCTTTTAATAATAATATAAATCAAGATTAAAAAATCAATATTTTACTGAAGATTAAACCTTGCAATCATTACAAATACTAGTAAAAATGAGATAGTAATAGTCAATAATAAAAGTTTTATTAACTTGTCGTAGCAAAAATATTATCAAGACCAATAGCTCCGTTAAGTTGTTTCAATTGTTTCACCCACCAACTGTAGATAAGAAAAATACAAAACAAATAAAACAATAACAATTAAAATAATTGCCTAATCGGTTTTTTTCAAACGAATAAAAAATAATTTGAATATAAAAAAAATACTATTAATAGAAAATTAATAATAAAATAATTGTTATTAGAAGATTTATTTATTTTTTTTATAAAAAAATAATATTTTATTTCAATATTTCGGTTAATGAAATTTGTCAATAAAATGTAATGTCTTTAAAAGTATGAACTTCATCTCTGTAAGTTCGAATTTGAATATGTTATTATGTAGATTTTTTTAAAAAATTGTTAGCTATTTTGATCTTATTTATTAAATCTTTTCGTGCGTATTATTACCAAATTAGATTAAATTGCTATAGAGACACCAAGGCGACCGAGAGACACTTCTGATTGAAATTAATATATTTAATGTATAAAAAAAAGTGAACTTTGATCATATAAAAAAAGCATCATCGAAAGAGAAGATATTTTAATTGAAAAATTATTGTAATGACCAAGTATTCATTCTTGCATATTCATTCTTGCATTTGTTCTTTTTTAATTTTTAGAAAATTTAGTTATCTTTGACTTTGTTTGAATTTTTATTTGAAAACGTTTCAGATAAACCTTTGATTTTGTCATATAATCTTTGATGTTTTTACAGTTATTATTTACTTGTTCCTGAAAATAACCAAACACAAACATATTTGATTTTTCTATTTGATTACCTATTTGAGTACGACAAATAATAAATATAACAGCGTTGCGAAGAAAAGAAATCAATTTTATCTTTCTCTATTCTTAATTATTGTGCAAGATTAGAATGTTAACAATATTTTATTTAATTAATTCATCTACAAGACTCAATAAGCAGTGTTTTAATTCTGTATTTTTAGGACGCGTTTCTTACATTCAATATTTTCCAATGAAGTAACTCATACTTGTGATATATTTAGGAACTTTTAAGAATTAAATAAAATTTGTAATGTAAATTGAAATATTTAAAAATGAACTTTTTGATTCGAACAATTCTCTTCAGCCTTTTCATATACCGCTTTATTATCTTCATAACTACAATACTGTTATCATCATAACTACAATACTTTTTAAAT